CCTGGACTGTATTCTCAGAAGGGACTCATGGCTTGAACACAGAAGAGAAGCTCCACTTTCAGGACTTAGTTACTCAGTAGACAAACTGCTGTAAAGCTGAAGAGTTGCTACCCTTAGCAAAATACCCAATCCTTGGAGATTAAACCAAAAGGGTGACTTACAACCATTGGTTTAGCAACTGTTCAAAGTTACAACACTGAAAAAAGTGGCTTTTAATAGATACTTGCACAACCGTCATAGCACCCTGCCAGTGGTAGGATTCAAATATGTGAACAACTGGTTCTCTGTGTGGATGCTGCTTCCGGAAGTCCATTCTGGGCCTGGGCAACAAAAAATTAGCTACCGGTTCTGCTGAACTGGTGAGAACTGGCTGAATCCCACCATTGTACCCTGCCGTCGTGTGATCAGAATTTGGGTGCTTGGCCAACCAGCATATATTTTTAATGGCTGCAGTGTCCCAGGCTCACATGATCGCCATTTGCAATCTTCTCAATTGGTTTCTGACAAGCAAAGCCAATGGGGGAAGCCAGATTAACTTAACAACTGCATGATTCATTTCATACCTATGATAAAAGAGGTAAAATTGGGTGTAAATCACTTAATAACTGCCTTGCTTAGTAATGGAAATCCCCATCCCAATTGTGCTTGTAAGTTGAAGACTTCCTGTATTTAAAACCATGTGCAAAGTCTGCATCTCACTTATTTTGGCCATGTCATGCAGGGGAATTCACTGGAGAAAGCAATTATGCTTGGAAGAGTTAGCAGAAAAAGGAAACCAGGCCATCAACAAACATGGTGGCTGGACATCATCAAAGCTGACACCAGCCAGAGCATAGAAAAATTCAAAGAAGTAGTGTACGATCGGAAGATGTGGAGAGACCTGGCGCATAGAATCACCAAGAGTCGGACACAACTGAATGAATAACATCATCATCATAATCATCATGCAAAGTCATATGTTTTGTATTGTTACTGGCTTAGACCCAGCTATTGGGGTTTGCAAACCATGGTTTGTGGCTTAGAATGTTGCACAGCTTCAGGCAACTGTGATTTGCTCAACAAACTATAGCATGTTACTTGAGGTTAGCCTTGATATGAAACCTTTTCCCTGTTCTAATTTAGGATGAGACCCAGCATCTTGTAACCAACCTGTATCTAGGCCAGGGGTAGGCAACCTTGGCTCTTTTATGACTGGTGGACTTCAACTGAGCTATGCTGGCTCAGGAATTCTGGGAGTTGAAGTCCACCAGTCATAAAAGAGCCAAGGTTGCCTACCCCTGACTTGTGGCCCACTTTCTCGCTTACCCTCCTTTCTTTGTTGACCTTCCACCTCCCAAATTTTCTGTCCATTTAAACCACAGCAGAATCCATGTTGTTTTTCTGATGACAAAATTAACTTGTTGTAATGTTTCTTAAACTTAAGAGATGTGGATTTCAGTTTCCAGAAGTTGCTAAGCAGTTGCTAAGCTTGAGAAATACTGGATTAGTGTTTCTCAACCTCATTTATTTTTGCATTTTGCTTAAAAAAAATGAGAAAAAAATTATGTGTGATTTATGGGTTTGACGATTAGAAAAGAGAGAAGGAAAGACAGAAGGAAATTATGATGTAACTTTAGAGAGAGAGGACAAAACATAAATGTGTTTGTAACTACTGAAAAAGATCTGGAGTTGCTTCTTTAAATTTTTCTATTTTCTTTTTTCACCACTTACTATTTTTCTTTAATATCTTTCCTTTCTTATACGCTTCTATTCTGAAGCCATGTTGTTTTTCTGATAGGCTTTGCATGTTGTGCTGGACATAAAGCTGTGGTGTTTCATCATCATGAGTCAGCATTAAGCAGGGCTGTAAAATGGAGGGGGGGCTAAGAAGATCTACGTGCAAAACTCTCCGTCCTCCCATTCAGCGAGGAAACTTGTTCGGACTGGATTAACTGGCGTCAACACATTTGAGGCACCCAGCTCCGTCTTCAATTAATGCCTCTCCTTAAGATCCTGTATCAGCCTGCTTTCCATCAGTAGCCTTCACTGAATTTCCAGAGCCTGGGAAACTACAGGAGACTGGAGGAGGAGCCCTTAACAACGGAATGAGACAACTCCCCACAGTCAACTCGCCATGGCACAACTGGCCTATGGGACAATTCAACAATTCAATTTAATTATTTAGAATAATTTTAAAAATATTTTAATGTTTGTCATTCACATTTTATTTTGTCCCTCCTTTGGCATCCCTTTTTTAATGATTCTTTCCTATTTCTTCAATATTAGTGTAACTCGTGTCCTGTGGTGAGTTGTTCCGCACCAAGCTGGTGTGGCAAGTTGGCCACGGCAACTTAACATTGACCCTTGAGGCAATATAATTTCTTGTCCTCCCACCCTCTGCACACACATGTACATATTAACCTTTTCTGTTTATAAATTGATCCGTCAGCAAAGGGCACAACCCAGGCCCAAGGCATGGAAGTTATTAATTGCTAATTAAAAGCCACTAATAGGCCTGCAACTTGCTGAATTAGGGCTTTTCACTGTGGTTAGGCCTCTATGGCCTTAATTAGACTCCTTAACCGATGACATAGTTTTGAGTTGCAACCCGTTATCTCCCCACCCTTTTGGTATTATCTCCAAGGACCGGGTATTTTGCTAAGGGTGGCAAGGAAAAACTCTGCTGACAGCAGTTCGACTTCAGTGGTTTGCAAATGGCACATTCAGCCAGTGGATTTGCTGAGCCAATTGGTGGCACTCCGATGAGATACCAGGCCTTCCCACTGCCTTATGTCTCTCTTTGCATGTCCTAAAGATCTCCGAAATCTATCTGCTGGAAAGAAGGCAGCTTCTTCAGAGGATAAAGGCAGTTTTCTCTTTTTCCTCAAACCAGTTCTTAAAGGACAAGAGGAGACAAACTGTGTTTGTGGAATATCCTGAATCACAAATCAGCAAGCCACATTTTAGCTTAGTGTGTTGCGAGGACCTAAATGCCATGCGTTCGTGATTCAAAAAATTAGGCCGAATAAATCTTGTGTTAATTGATTGTGTGTAAGCAGGATATGCAAACTCAGCCAAAGGAAACCAATTACCAGCGTGGACCTTGTGTTTTAGTTGCTAATCATTTGTTGAAAGGTGAACATTTGCTCTAAGGATTTTTGTAGATATTCTGTAGCTGAGTTGAGAACATTTCTCCTTGTTGAAGTCATAGAAATTATGCTGGCTTGCCTTTCTTACACAGCTCTCGGTATTTTTATGTTTTTGATACTCACCCTACCTTTCTACTCAAGACAGTAGTCAAGATGGCTAACAAAGTAATGGCTGGGTCAGTCTTCCCATTTCCAAATCAAAGGGTTTGCTTCAATTCTGTTTTCATATTTGTTTCCTGGACTCCAGGGATCTCATATCCCATCATATCCAAGCAGAAGCTCCACACAGCTCAACATGTAGATATAATGGATGATTTCTGTAATCTGCCCACATTTTTATCCTCCTAAGTCCAGGGTTGCCCCACCCGTGCAGAGAGAAAATAGTGGCTAAGGAAACAGTGAGCTGTAAATTGGCTAAGGGGTTGTGGAAGTAGCATTACTCTATGTTCTCCCAAGTGAGATCCACTTTAATTCCAATTGTCCCATTGTTCACTTCCAGAATGCTGATGTCTCTTCCAATTGAAGGCCGGCATGTAAAATCTCTTAGAGGCTATTAAGAAAGATAGCATGGAAAAATAGGGAAGAGCATAAGCCATCATTTAATCATGGCAGGATATGGAATGGTGGTGAGAGTTAGCTTACCAGCCAGGTCAACCAAATAAGAGTGGCTCTCTGCATTGCCCAGAATACTCTTCATTAAAACGATCTGTCTTGACACATCTTGTTGCTGATGTTCAAGGAATCAAGGGTTAGCTTTGGGGCCTGAAGTCTTCAGGTTCTCTATCCAATACAGGGTGGGAAGCATCTGGCCTGTGAAATTAATCTGGTTCGCCACATTGGAGTAAGGTGTCTTCCCAACAAGTCTTAATTGTAAAGAAACACAGTGATAATGCTGTCACCTAAATCTTAGGATATGCTGCTCAATTCAGAACAGAAGACAATAAAATGCCTAGAATGTGCAAAACAGTAATGTTTAATAAGACAGAATGTACATAAAAACATTGTTTCTTTGTTGCTCAGTGAATAGTCAGTCTTCAAAATTTGTAGGGCTGCCAGAAGGAAGAGTGTGTCAATTTATTCTCTATAATATCTGAGGACAGGACAAGAAGCAATGGGTGGAGGTTTGTCAGAAGAAGATCCAATCAGGTAATGAGGAATTTCCTGATAATAAGAACTATTACCCCAGGGGTAGTCAACCTTGGCTCTTTTATGACTCGTGGACTTCAACTTCCAGAAATGGCTCAGGAATTCTGGGAATTGAAGTCCACGAGTCATAAAAGAGCCAAGGTTGACTACCCCTGTATTACGCAATAGTTTGCCTCCTGGAGGAAGACCTCCAACATCCCTTCTAGCCTCATTATTCTATGATTCTATGAAATTAAAAGCTGCTACTTTCAATTTCTATCCTTTCTTTTTCTTTCTGTATTTTTGTTTTTCACATTCACATTCTCTTTCTTTGTTCTCTTTATTCTGTATTCATCGGGCATGATGGCTCAGCTGATCTTGTCACCTAGGAAGCTGACAGCCCAGGTTCAAGACTTGAGCGCTCTATGATGGGATCAGCTTCCATTATTACCCCAGCTCCTGCTTACCTAGAGTTTGAAAACATGTAAAATGCGGGTAGATAAATAGGTGGAAGGTAACAGCGTTCCATGCGCTCACCATATAATCATGCTGGCCACATGACCATAGAAGTGTCTTTGGTCTACGCTGGTTCCCTTGGCTAAAAAAACTGAGATAAACACCGCCCGCTAGAGTCAGACACAACTAGACAGGGGGAATCTTTTCCTTTACCTTTTTATTCTGTATTCATTAGTGGTAGTTTTTATGTGCTCTTTAAAATTGTCTAATAAAAAATTATATATAAAAAAACAAGGAGGAAAACTACTTACAGGCCACAGATATTCCAGCAAGTTTTCTGACATGACAGTTTTAAAAGTATCCTGTTTTCAACTGAAGTCTAAAAAGTTATGCTGTCTTGTAATGACTCACAAGTCAAGTAAGCAAGCAACAGTTTCACTTTACTATTATTTCTGGGCAGGATGAAATCCATCCAAGGATTCCTAAGCGGGATCAATAATTTTCTTAGCCTTCCACACAGCAGGAATGAGAAATACTGATCTCTCCAGATTTCTATTCTGATGACAGGAAAAAATTTAGTAGATCATTCTAAAAAGAAAAGAAAAAAAACAAGAATGGAAGCATTTTGAATGCAAGGGGTACAAAATTTTTTAACCTGGCAGGAGAAAAGTCAACAGATGTTTCCCAAGCAACTTTCTGTTGCCTTTCTATTTCCACAGAGTTTCTATTTTTGTTCTATAACCTTTGCAGCTTCACCTCTGCAATTTTTCACAGCAGAAAATATCATCATGTTTGGGAGCTGTTCTTATCGTTTAGGGAAAACTGCATCTCTGCTGTCTTTTAAATGCTTTTATAGAATTAAGGAAAACCCGTTGGACCTGAAATAGTTCAATAACACTTTTGCAATGCCTGACATGGCTCTTAATGTAGCCTGTGGTAACGTTTAACCTAATTTGTGGGTTGGCAACCTATACTTTCGAGGCTACAAAAAGTGGAGCTCTTGTAAGAATGGAGAGCTCAGTCCACTTTGACCCCATGATCAGCTGGCTAGCAGGCAGGAAACCGAGCTGTTTTCTCCCTGCTATGGTAAGGAGAAAAGGAAAGGGTGAAGGAGAGGGAGGAGAGGAGAGGATGCTGACAAGTGGTAGATTAATTCAAGAGCATCTCCAGTCAGATCAGTGCAGTTTCTATGGCCTGTAAATGCTTCTCGTTCAGGATCTGTTCAGGGGAAGCAATAGGCACTTGGGGGAAATATAAATGAGTCATATTTGATGTGATGCAGATAATCCTTGATTTATGACCACAATTGAGACCAGAAATTCCATTGCTAAGCAAGGTGGTTGTTAAGTGAGCCAGGCCCAATTTTACAACCCTTTTTGCCATGGTTGTTAAGTGAGTCACTGCAGTTGTAAAGTGAATCATGCAATTGTTGAGCAAATCTGGCCTCTCCCACTGACTTTGCTCGTCGGAAGCCAGCTGGGAAGGTGGCAAATGGCAATCACATGACAATGGGACACCGCAACTGTTAGAAATATATGCCGACTGCCAAGCACCTGAATTCTGATCATGTGTCTGTGGGGATACTGCAATGGTCATAAGTGCGAGGACTGATCATAAGTCTTTTTTTTTCAGTGTTGTTGCAACTTTGAGCAGTTACAACAATGAATGGCTGTTAAGTCGTGCACTATCTGTACTGTAGGGGAGGGAATAGGAACACTTATCTCAGAATGAAGAATGCACTGCAGCTTCTAATGATGTGAGGTAAATGTCCAAAGTCACATTCCAAAAAGATGTGAACAAGACCAGGAAAAAATGAAATGTTGGATTGAGGTCATTTATAATAACATGAGTTAAAATATATATCTATTGGATGTAATTATTTTCCAGAAAAAAAATCTTTTTCACACTTTTCCCCATGTCACATTCATAACGAAAGCTCTATAGCAAGTTTTGGAGGTGTCCATACAAGGCTTTGAGGGGTCCTTGTGCAGCAAACTCTCTGGTGAAACAGGGGAAAAATGTAGTCTGAGTAGTATATTAATCTACTGCATAAACATTAAAGTAACAGTATCTTTAAAGATCTGTACTAACATCGTACTATTTGGGAGAAAATTTGAGTTTTGGATCAGTAACAATTCAATTAGTGATTTTTGTTTAAAAATCAAGCTATTTTTTATTTTTTTTAAAAGATGAATTATAAAGAAAAATTAAATTATATGCCTATTTTATTTTTTCTGCTTTCCTAAGTAGCTATAGAGTCGCATAGACCTTCCACAGAAAATCTTACTATTAATTCCTACTTTTAGATAATTCACCTAAACAGGCCTCAAACACTTGTCGTGCTGGCTTTTGCTGTCTTAAGGATTAGAAACATGCCCTTTAAAAGACAATTGGTAGTTTTTAGGTTTCTGAGCCCGGCTATATTGTCCACAAACTGGCTTCATGGAATATAAATTCTTCAGGAAATATTTATGTTCCTAAAGTGTCTGTATTCTTTTGAACTGGATGACACTTTCCACAAACACATCCATGTAACTGCTTGGAGTCAAGTTTTATTCAAAGGTACCTTTATCTTTAACTTGGGTTTAGCATGACATGTTGTGTCTGCCCCCTGCTGGACTTCTTGGGAACAAGCTGCCCCGAACAGTTTCAAGACAACTGCATGAACTATGATTTCTTCAAGACATTCAACACAGAATAATAATAACACCCCCCCCACACACACAAATGTAGTTGTTAAAAAGGAAGATCAGCTAAGAGAATTTGATTCTTATGAGCACAAATCAGCTACACTAGCCAGGTTGTGCATCATGGTTTAGTGAACAAAGCACAATTCTTGGGTTCCTACAACACACTAAGATAAATGAATGAAACAGCATTATGGCTTAGTTTAAGGTTGCCCTACTTTTTCTGATCAAGAGCTAAACTCTTCCAGGTTGTGGAATCTTCTAGAGATGCCATGGCTTTCCAGATATTACTACAGAATAATTCCTATTAGTAAGGATCCATGATGATTGGGGATGATGGAACTTGAGATCCAATGCCTGAACCAGGCTTTTTATACATGTGTTCTGTAGCTGACCTAGGTCTACATTTTTAACAAAATCTTCTCAAATCTTGACTATAAGAGAAATACTCAAAGGATCTTCAACTGTGCCACTCACCCAGCCTCCCTGCTGTTCAATCCAGACAGCCAGTCGATCCCTTAAAAAGTTCATGGCCCAGTCCATCACATTCCCAAAGAAACTGGAGGCAGACTATGGGTGTAGAAAAGAAGAAAGAGCAACATGATTAAAAAAAAGAAACTAGAATTTATAAGCTTCGGTGATCTTTTTTAGTCAAAATATTAAAGGGTGAGAAGGTGGGAAATAATGGCTAGAAAAATCAGATTTACAGATTAGGAGTTTCTTGGCTATGAATTAAACTACTTGTCAAATAAAACTACTTGTCAAAAGTTCAATAGAATGTGTTCCAAGGTTTGTGAATTCACTAGCTCATTTCAACCTGGTGACCAGTAAATTAGGACTTCCTATTTTTCAGTAATCATGGACATTTCAGAAAAAGGAAGCAACTGTATGCGTGTATTAATTCAGAAGTAAATCCAACTGTCAGTTGGATTTATTTTGAGATAAGTGTGCAAAGGGACACAATTTTTCCCAATCAGTTTATAGGGATGGTAATCTGTGAAAAGTCACACTGAGCTAAAGAAGAACAAATGCTCTAACTACTTAAAAAGAGAGAGGTCAACTAGGTTTAAAATCTGCTTTTAACACTGAGCTGAGTGCATGATTTCCTTCTGGAAAAAAAAGTGCCATGGTCAATTCTGTATTTGAAAAGCTAAGATGGCGTGGCATGCAACTCAAAATAAACAAAAGAAGAATTACTTAGTGATTTAGGGGCCCATTTTTTTCTCCTAAATAGGTCAATGGGTTGAATGAAGACAAAGGAGAATTGCCCCTGGAAGATTTAAAGAACACAAACCATAAGACAAAACAGGCACTTAAATCTTGTAGAAGCTTCAAACATACAAAGCACCCCAGGCAACCCCCCCCCCCGAAAAAAGACTCAGGTATCCTTTTTGCTTGTTTTTCCTTTAAAATAGGTATACAATGGCTTAACCAGAATAACAGTCAATGTGGGTAGGAGATAGAAAGACCACCCTCTCCCTGTATTCTTTCTTTTTAACTCTCTTTTTTGCTTGTTGGTATAAAAGAAATGTACAGAGTCGTGGGCATTCCTAGAAGGGAAAATGACATCAAAAGAAACAAAAGATGGAGCTTTAAATATCATGATGGAAGCCCACAATTGCATCGTTTGCACAGTGATGACTTACATGTCATCATTTTGACATTATGGCTAGTAATGAATGGATCCAAGTGTACAGAGCCCTCCCACCTACCCTTTTCCTGGAAAACTAATGTTTCCTTAATTAAAAATTAGCCAGTAATCTAGGTTTGTCTAGCACACCATGCCATACATAAGCCAAACTAGCCAAATCCAAACCATAGTTATCAAACATGGTAAGCAGCATGTCTGACCCAGATATAATAAACAAAAACTATGTCACCTCTTAGAGTGACATGCAAGTAAGATGAGAAGGAGCCAGTAAAGATTGCCAATAAGGAGAGATGAAAGATTTTAATCAAAAGAAGCTTCAGCCTTATAAATCCTCTCTTTCAGGCAAGGGAGAGTAATTTATGGCAAAAGGACCTTACGCATTTGCCAAGTTGTTTTTCTGCAACACAGTCAGGTCCCCAGGTCATGCCTGCTAAAAAACTATTATTCCAGGGCAGGAAAAAAAATGAGAAAATAATGCTGTTTCCTTAAAATAAGCCTTTAAAATACAAGAAATAACTCCTATTTTCACTTGCCCTGCCTCCATGTGACCTTCAGCCCACTCAAAAGTATTAAGACTGTCCTCCCCCCAAAAGCCCCTCCCCTCCAAAGCAACCCAGCCTACACTGGCACTGTTTATATGGATCTTACTACAACCCCACTGATTTCAGCCTATCTTGCTTTTCCTGTTCACTCCTTGAGGATGTTGATACAACAGACATTATGCTTTCAGATTTTTACCTGTCGGGCAACTTCGTATGTAAAGTAGAAGAAGACAACAATCCGTCCCCAGTTGACTCCAGTAGCAAACACCTCTTCTGATACTTCGGCCAGAGCGTGGAGTGGATTTTCACTGATGACACTTTCTGCCATTCTGTAAGGGGAGAGGGACATCTCAGTGCAATACAACAAAAAGGTAATTCTGGAAAACAAAGCAAAATCATGTAAAAAGTGGCAAATCCAACTGATAGAATCAGCATGTCTTGTTTTTTAAAGAAAAGCTTTTATGGACCTTGAATATCACTAGAAGCCCAGGAGAGGAGAATGGATTTTGCTAGAAGAAGCAGCAGCATTTTGGATCTTACCACCTTTCACCAGAAGTAGCTGGTGCTGTCAAAGCAAAAACATCCGATGTTCTTTGAAGAGTTTCATCTGTCGGAACCATGATAGGTGCATCTTATATCAGAACTGGTGGGCTGTCCCATCATATTCAATACAGTCCCATTTTTTTTCCTTATTATTAGGAACTGTATCATCAAATACAATTGAAAATGTACTTTAATAGGTAGGATAGTATTCATCTGTGTTAATCCAGAATGTGCCTTCTCAGTAACAAACACTATCTAAGGTACCATCTCATCCCAATGGGATTGGCCCATCCCATCTCTCCGGCAGAAAGAGGATGCTCTGGATCCTGTTGGCCAAGGAATTTGATCATTCAGGATCCAGAAAAGCCTTTTCTGCTGCGGTTCTTGCCCTGTGGAACAATGTGACCAGTGGTGGGAGTCAAATATGTGAACAACTGGTTTTCTGTGTGGATGCTGCTTCCGGACGTCCTGGGCAGAACTGGCTGAATCCCACCACTGAATGTGACCCTTGAGATGAGATCTACCCCTATTTTCTTGGCCTTTGGAAAGGGCCTGAAAACCCAGCTCTGCTGACTGATTTTGCAGCCCTGATGGGGGCATTCCACAGTGGGAGTGATTAGTAGAATCATAAGACTGGAAGGACCTTGGAGATCTTTTAGTCCAACCCGCTGCCCAAAGCAGGAGTCCTTATTCCATCCCAAATGGTTATCCAATCTTTTCTTGAAAACCACCAACAATGGAGCACCCACAACTCCCAGAAGCAAGCAAACATTTTCAGTGTCAGGAAGTTTCTCCTTAGCTCCAGGTTGGATCACCCTCTGACTAGTTGCTTCTAATCTTGCCATCAGGTGCTATGGAAAATAAATCAACCCCCTCTTCCATGTGGCAGACCTTCATGTATCTGAAGACAGCTATTATGTTACCCCTAAGCCTTCTCTCCATTAGGCTAAACTTTATAACTAGTCCCCTTAGCCGTTGTTGTTGTTGTTGTAGTAGTAGTAGTAGTAGTAGTAGAAGTAGTAGTAGTAGTAGTAGTAGTAGTAGTAGTAGTAGTAATAATAATAATAATAATAATAATAATAACAGTCACTAAGCAAACTGTTGTAAGTCGAGGACTACTTGTACTTCATTACTTTTTTCCTTTTTTTGGTCATCAAGTTTTTGACACCTTGCTAGGCGACTGGTGGTACTCGGATATTGCCGTATCCTAAAAGTGGTACAATGGGTGAAAAGATTGAAAAGACCTGATCTAGTCCAACCCCCTGTTCAGGCAGGAAACCCTGTACCATTTCAGACAAATGGCTGTCCAGTCTCTTCTTAAAAACTTCCAGTGTTGGAGCATTCCCCGCTTCTGGAGGCAGGTTGTTCCACTGGTTAATTGTTCTAACTGTCAGGAAGTTTCTCCTTAGTTCTAGGTTGCTTCTCTCCTTGCTTAGTTTCCACCCGTTGCTTCTTGTCCTGCCTTCAGGCGCCTTGGAAAATAGCCTGACTCCCTCTTCTTTGTGGCAGCCCCTGAGATATTGGAACACTGCTATCATGTCCCCCCTCGTCCTTCTCTTCATTAAACTAGGAATACCCAATTCCAGCAACCATTTCTTATATGTTTTAGCCTCCAGTCCCCTGATCATCTTTGTTGCTCTTCTTTATGATGTAAGTTGCTCAGAGTCCCTCAGTAGTGACATGGGGGCATATAAATTTAATAAACAAATAAATAAAATGCAACCAATCAGAGGTCCATTGGAAATTGGCCTCCTCAAAGGGAGAATTACAGTGGCCCACAGACATGGGCTGGATCTCATTTTTCCTACCTGGTGATTTCTGCATTATTTCTGAGTTCTTGGTATATGCGGAACATGTGTTCTTTCAATGAATACATCTGGGCAGCATCTAGTTCGTCTTCCCCATTTGCTTGCTCCCCTGGCATGTTGTCTCTGCCAAACTGCTCCAAGGAGGCTGGGTAGCGAGAGCAAGCTGCATATTGCTGCCAAAGAGTCTTGATGAATCTACCAGAGAAAAAGGCATGAACAGATGAGGCGTCTGAGCCCAGCAAACAATAACAACAACAACAAAGTTGGAAGGGACCTTGGAGGTCATCTAGTCCAGGGCTTTTCAACCAGTGGTACGGGTACCACCTGTGGTACATTGGCACCTGGCAGGTGGTACGCGACCATCCTAGAAAAGTGGTAGCGGGGGAGGGGAATGAGCTGACCCGGTGGCAGCACACGAGAGATGGCTGGAGCTGCAGGGCTGTCAGGGCTCAGCGGAAGCGCCAGGATCAGTGCCGCTTTCCAGCTGATCGGCGCTTCTTCTGGACTGTTGGAGCTCAGTGGAAGCGCCAGGATCAGCGCTAGGCTCCAGCTGAGCCCAGAAGAAGCACCGATCAGCTGGAATGTTGCAGCATCTCCAGGGTCTTGTGATTTACATTCAGATGCTTGGCAACTGATTCTTTTTATTTATTTATTTATTTATTTATTTATTTATTTATTTATTTATTTATTTATTTATTTATTTATTTATTTATTTAATTTATATACCACCCTATCTCCCTTGCGGGACTCAGGGCGGTGAACAGGCGATACTAAAAACCACGGTAATAAATAGTTTGTTTTAAAATCGAATTAAATAACGGGCCTGTTCTAAAAACACACCCGTAAAAAAACCCCCACTGAAACATAATCAAGCTACGCCAGGCCGGCCGCACGGAATAGATGGGCCTTCAGGGCTCGGCGAAAAAGNGTCGCCAGCCGGCATTGTCTGGCCGACGGCACTCTAAGGAGGCCCTCTCTGTGGGAGCGGACTGGCCGAAGGGAGGTGTTTGGTAGGAGGCAGTCTTGCAAATACCTAGGTCCATTGCCATGGAGCGCTTTAAAAGTTGTTACTAACACCTTGAAGCGCACCCGGAAGGCCACCGGCAGCCAGTGCAGCTCGCGCAGGAAAGGTGTTACATGGGAGCATCTAGAGGGCCCCAAAATCCCCCGCGCAGCCGCATTTATGATGGTCAGTGTCCCAGGGTCATGTGAAGTGACCAAAATCTGCTGCAACCACCCAGCAGACGGGGGGAATAAAAACCAAACATCCCTCCACTCCCGCTGCCAATCCTCAACAGAAATGCTCACAACAATGGAAACCTCGGACAGGAGGAAGAGCGCCGCCAGGTGGGCAGGCAGGTGTCTTGCTCAGCTGTGGCTTGGGGGGCACTTTTTTCAGTGCCATTGTAACTTCGAACAGTCACTAAGCAAACTGTTGTAAGTCGAGGACTACTTGTACTTCATTACTTTTTTCCTTTTTTTGGTCATCAAGTTTTTGACACCTTGCTAGGCGACTGGTGGTACTCGGATATTGCCGTATCCTAAAAGTGGTACAATGGGTGAAAAGATTGAAAAGACCTGATCTAGTCCAACCCCCTGTTCAGGCAGGAAACCCTGTACCATTTCAGACAAATGGCTGTCCAGTCTCTTCTTAAAAACTTCCAGTGTTGGAGCATTCACCGTTTCTGGAGGCAAGTTGTTCCACTGATTAATTGTTCTAACTGTCAGGAAGTTTCTCCTTAGTTCTAGGTTGCTTCTCTCCTTGATTAGTTTCCATCCGTTGCTTCTTGTCCTGCCTTCAGGCGCTTTGGACGCTTGACTCCCTCTTCTTTGTGGCAACCTGAATCAGGTGGAGTTAGCACTGTCCTACATTGCTTTCCATCACTGGGCTCTGGATGGGAGATTCAGCGTCAGGGCAGAGAGGCTAAAAAGGAGCAGTGAAAAGACTCCTTGAAAAGCACAGAGCAGCCTTTGACAAAGTGATGCTCTTGAATGAGATCATTTGGTTTTTATTCTCCCTTTATTACCTTATAAGTAACTCAAGGTGGTGGTGAAGATACACAATACTCCTTCTCTTTTCCCCACAACAACAACCCCTGTGAGGAGAGTTCTTTGAATCACCCCCACCCACTGATCAACTTGCCCTGCAGCTGGGCCTTCTGGGAGGCCCAAATTCAGCACATCTGGACTCTGTTCTATTCAAGCGATGAGAGAAAGCTTGGAGAGCATTGTCCCAAAGGTGCTTTTTTCAAGAGGCAACTGGACTTTCTTGTTTTTCTTTGAAGACGTTTTGCTTCTCATCCAAGAAGCTTCTTCAGCTCTCAGCTCCTGGAGAGCATTCATTTATGCTCAAAATGTACTCATCATATCACTTGTAGATATGGGAGCTCATTAGAGTTGATTATCAAATGGGTATCTATATAAACATTTCATTTTTTAAATATATTTTATTAATCTTTTTACAATAACGATCTTTAGTGCTTAGTGAACAATGTGTTGTTTGGGTTCATATATTTAAAAACAATAATAATTAATTTTTATAATTGATCAATATGTTAGTTGATAATATATTTCCTTGATCCTCTCTTCTTCCAGTAATATTCTCCTTTTGTCTACATTAAACAAATATAATTCTTAATACTTTCAATACATACAGAGTTGGGTATAAACATTTTTCTAGTATTTGTACATATAACAATAACATCATCTTTCCTAATCAGCTTATTTTTCAATTGTATTTATAGAAGTCATCTTATTAAGTCATTATATGTCCTGTTTTCAAAGTTCTTATTTAAGCTTAATTTCCCCTCAGTATTGAAACCACTCTTGTCAGTCATAATTTTCTCAAAATTCATTGCCTTTGAATATCCAAACTTTTCATTCAAATACACCGTCTCAATATTTTTACATTTCATAAATATTATATTACTTATATATCTAATCCTTCTTACCATAGGGCCCATTTATGTTCAAGCTTTATCTATTCTTTAAACCATGGTCAAACAAGTATTGAATCATATAGTACATCATCTAGCAATCTTTCTATAGGGCCTCTTTATATCCAAACTTTATATTTTTTAACAGTATTCAAACAAGTGTTTAGTCATATAGTATTCCATCTGATAAAGTGAATCACATCTCTTAAATCTAATTATAATCTTCTTCTTTTGCCAGGTCGCCTTCCAAATCAGTAGGTTTAGCTTGCCAGGTTGTATTTTTGTAGATATTGTTGGGGATAAAAAAGACAAATTAAGTAGAATATTCACTTTTTCTCTCCTACGCTTTAATGATTCTCCTGACAGCTCTTTAATCCATTTTATTAAATCTTCTTTTTTATCTCAAGTTTGTTTTGAAGTCCTAGAACAGTGGTTCTCAACCTTTTTAATGCCGCGCCCCCAACCGGTCGTAAGTCGAGGACTAAACCGGTCATAAGTCGAGGACTAAACTGGTCGTAAGTCGAGGACTAGACCAGTCGTAAGTCGAGGACTACCCAACCGGTCGTAAGTTGAGGACTTTCCTTGCCCGGGAGCGCCGCGCATGCGTGGTTCCGCCCCCTGCGCCAGCCGAGGCATAGCTGGCAAGCGGCAGAGATGGAGCAGGCCGACCACCAGCTGGCCCAGCTCAAGGGAGGTAAGGCACCCGCCGGAAAAGGGGGAAAAAATGGCGGACAAAAAAAATGGCGGACAGCCTTGCTTGGCGACCCCCGTGAAATGGTCGATCGACCCCAAATGGGGTCCCGACCCACAGGTTGAGAACCACTGTCCTAGAAGGTAAAACATCTTTTTTATTTCCTTTGTTGTAGCAAAAGTTTGCAGATTTTCTTTTGTTTGTATTAAGTTGTAGTTCTCTTCATTTGTAGCTTCCATATTTAAGTCATTTTCCTCAGACTTGTATTCTATTGTCTGATTTATTTGTTCATTCTTTATCATTATTTTTTGAGAGTTGTTTAATTGTCTATCTAGACCCATACCAGTCGGGCTTCAGGCCGGGACACAGCACGGAAACGACATTGGTCGCATTGGTTAATGATCTCTGGAGGGCCCGGGACAGAGGTTATTCCTCTGTCCTTGTTCTTTTGGACCTCTCAGCGGCTTTTGATACTGTAGACCACGGTATCATGCTGCGGCGTTTCGGTGAGTTAGGAGTGGGAGGCACCGTTATGCGGTGGTTCTCCTCCTTCCTCACCGACCGTACGCAGTCTGTATT